TACTGACTTAGGTTCTTGGTAATTTTCTAGAAATACTAGAAAAACTTATCATTCAACCTTGAAATAGCGTTTGTGCATACTTTTTCTAGCACTCTTACGAAGTGAACGCTCTCATGTGACCTTAGGATCTTATAAAGATATATTTCTTGCCATATAACTCCAAATTTTCAATCTTGCTTGAGGAATTATGGATATAAGCAACTGACCACCAAAGTCAAAGACAACTCAAATTAGGGAATCTACTTGCCAAAAGCTTATATGGTGTAGCAGGTACTGATGTAGAAGAAACTCTAATTCATAATATAGGTCACAATTAACAAGCATCTCCTTAGTTGGAAATGGATAAGTTAATCTATGCCATCATGGATTTCACCATTTTTAGTAACGTTCTATTCGTCCTCCCAGTAATACCATTTTGCTGTGGTGTATTGGAAATAGTTTATTACCTAATGATTCACTCATTATTACATAGTTCTTTGAACTCTTTAGATAGATATCAACGCCCTCGATCAGTTCTTAAGACTTTTACCTTTCTATTTATTTGATTTTCTACAATATTTAAATATCACATAAAGCACTCTAATTCCTTTGACTTATGAGAAATCAAATATAAATAACTATATTATGTGAAATCATCTATAAAAGCAATGAAATATAATGCTCAATATCTTGTCCTTACATTCATAGAACCACATATATCTAAATGGACTAAATATGACAGAAGTTCAACTCTTAAAGCTTTGTCAAATGGTCTCGTGTTGTTTTTCGATTAGATAATGTTCACAATAGTCAACGAAACCTTTGGATTGAACCTAACAAGTCCTTTTTAGCTAACCTATTCATTCTCTCTTGCCCAATGTGTCCTAATCTAACACGCCGTACACATGTATCAACATTCGCATATTTAGAAGAAGTAGATTTATGACAATATGATAATTTTAAATATTTGGTTCATAATCCAACACAATAAAACCACCAGATACATACCATATCCATAATATACTATCATTAATAATATGAACATGAGTACCACAAAAGTTCAAACTAAAACTCATTTTAGAAGAACAATAATAGAAATTAAGTTTCATCTTATCCTTTGTACAAACATGACATTATGAAGGAGAATATTATGACCACCATTCAAATGCAACTTGCATGTACAATTCCCTTTCATCTCTACTCTATAATCTTTACCGACTAGTATCCACTTCTTACCAATTGGAAATCGACAAAATTCTACAAATGCTTCTCAATCCCTGTTTAGATGGTCTATTGCTCTTGACTCTACAATCCACATAGGATAAGATTCGGTGAGCAAAACATTGCTAGAAATATAAATAGCATTAAAAAGAAGTATTCATAAGAGCTACTTCTTTGGCTTAAGGTAGTCCCTAGCAAAATGACCTAGCACTTGATCATTCTAGCATTGTAACTTATTCTTATCTTTCTTCTTTCCAAACCATTTCCTTTTCTTGTTGCATTTGGGCTTGTTCTTTTTAGATCGATGTTCAATCTCCTTCTCTTTTCCTTTAGTACATTTGTTTCAGTTCTTTTTACACTTAAAATCCGAATCTTTTTGAAAACAAGTCTCAGTCACAAAAGAATGTTTGAGGGATTTAGCTACTGCAATCCACCATCCTCTAGTTCATATGGCTGATAGGATTAATAAAAGTTTTGATGCTATCATTGTGACTCACATTGACTTTCAAATGTTCCCAATTATCAAAAAGAGTTCAAATCAAAGCTTGACCTTGCTTCTCATCGAAGAATATGTGACTAGCCAACTTCAGCTCCCTGATCATGTTAGACATGGTCGCCACATACTGTGTGACGTTGTGATAAAGAGATTTACTGTAAGTGCTAATCTTAATAGCTAGCTATCTGAGCCTAGTCACACTAGTACCACCATATTTTTCTCTCACATATGCTTATATGTCATGAGCAATTGGGAACTGTTCACATTCGTGAATGAGATCATCTACCACATAACTTACCAAAAATCGCACGAGTAATGGGAACTTTTTTTTTATGACTCGTAAGTTTCCTGATCACTTCTCTATTGAATAGATTGACCCATCTTTAGGTCTTCTATCACGTGGTTGGTTAATGCCCTCAAAGCAATCATGTTCCCTAAGTGCATACAAAATTTTATGGTGCCAAGTGTTATAGTTATCGCATTCAATTTGTCATATTTATTAAGGCCATCAATGATATTTTTAGATGCCATGTTTGTTAAAGTTTTAGAGACAGCCATTCAAATGTCGATTCATGCACAAATATCATTTGCATTCACATAAATTAAGATTTATGATAATATAATATTAGGCATAGAGTCGAAAGTTAACTAAGTTTGTAGTTATCTTCCATAATCCTATGTTTCATTATCACAAAAATTAATTTCATAGTACAAATCATAAGTTCTAGGTGAATAAAATGATCCCTACCAACCTTAGAACTCCCTCTAAATTAAATAATTATGCATGTATGATTTAAGTAAGACAGTTTGATCATATGTAATAAAAACACAATACATATATTAATCAAAAGATGTCAAATATATAACTGTGATTACATTATACTGTTCTATACAACTACTAGACATGAAAGGAGCATTACATGGATATTGACCAACAATTTGATGAAGTCTATAAGTCACTATTGTATATACAGAGATACACGAAGTTTCTTAATATACTAGTTTTCTTTCTTCCGTTTTTCCTTCAAAATCCTGGCCAAATAGCTATTGGCAAGAATAGGTGATTTATCCCTAATTTCAATTGCAATATCATTCCAACGACTGGGAATTGCTCTCATTAGATGATGTATTTTCTCCGCCTCACATATATATTGTCCCAAATGCATTGCATCGAGATATTTTATGTGCTATACTTGTTTATGTCGTAAATCTATTTCATAGTTTCAATAAGCACGTAGTTTTTCAATGCGTTCTACAGCCTATGCTTTTCTAGTTTTCCCCCTAAGAATTCTAAAAGAATGCACAAATCCAGCTCTGTTTGATTTAGTGAAAAATTGAAAAAAGTCGCAATAAATCACATAACCTAAGCAAGGCATACTCCACTCATTAACACATAAAAATGTAGTATTTTAAATATTTTCAAAGTACTTTTCAAATTTTAAAAAATCGAGAGCATCTAAAAAATTATCTCCCACTAGAAAAATACCACTTAATAAGTATTTTTTGATTTTATTAAAAAAACTCATAACTTAACGAAGTTAAAAATATTTTTAACGCTCATTATAGATTTATTTTATTCATTAAATACAAATAAGTATTTTTAACTATCTAAAAATTAATTAAATTACATAAAAAAAATCAAGAATATTTCAAGGACCAACCTGTGAAGATTTGGGATTCCATCTTAACATGGTATTAGAGTACATTAAATTTCAATGAGCAATTCGATCTGAAAAAGAATAAATGAGCATACGGATTTCAAAATTGGTCTGGTCAAACGAGCCACCATCTTGCGGGGGGCATATTAAGTGGTAAAAATCTCATTAGCCTTTTAAGATAGAACCCTAAATCTTAACATGATATCAGATCTCATTAAACTCCAACGAGCAATTCGATCCGATTAAGACTCAACAAATGAGCATACGAATTTCAAAATTGGACAGCTCAAACGAGCCACCATCTTGCATGAGCATGTTAAGGGATAAAAATCATACATCGGTTAAATACCTAAATATTGACCAATTTAAAAAGATTTTTGGGCTACCTTTCTTAATAAGGTTTACCTTTTAAGATGGAACTTCAAATCTTAATACAACCTACAATTTATAATTGCAATATCATCCTGCATGCGCGAGACAAAGTTTCAGAATTTTTCTTAAAAAAACATGCGCCCTCGCTCTTGTCCTTCATGCATCGCCTTCCCGATCCCGAAAGTTTTTTCCCTTTTGTCTATCTAGCTAATTTTTACATTCTAAATTCAACTGTACGGTCGAAATTTAAAAAAAAATAAAAATAAATAATAAATAAAATAATCTACGCATCCTAATGTTTTGTTTGCAAAAATAATGGACGGTGAGTGAAGAAAATAGTTATGATTCATCATCTTCCCAAAATTTGTAGACTTTTACATTTTTTTCCTTCAAACTCAACCTAAACATTGAAAGACTCAACTTTCTCGTTTCAAGTCCAAATTATGAGTTCTTTATATTGTTAAAAAACTTATGAGAAGAAATTTCTAACCAAACTGATCTTACTGCATGAAAATGAATCAACAGAAAATAGTAAATATTTAAGTTTTCTGTAATATTAATTAGGGTTCACTTTTCTCTAAAAATATAAAACCAAAAATTTCAAAAATTTGTAAGTATGATCTATCTTAAAAATTTTTCGTAAATTTATGTTGCATATTTCTTGACATGCCGTTAATGATGCTTCAAGCTTTATCATAAAAAGCATACATGCATTTCATCAATTTACTCCATTTACAGTAAGATAATATGCAAGCAAACAACACAAAAATGCTTTGAATTGTAAATAACTACCTGTCAAGTTGTAGAAATGTAATCGATGTGGAAATTTTCCAAGATTAAATATTTTGAATCACTTGCCTTACTTTGCTTGATCTCGTTGGTCCAAAACTCTATCAAGTTTATGAAATTCTTTAGCCACAATCCAAATGCCTATTCCGAGATGATTGAATGCCCTAAAAATGTGAAATAATGCCTTTTCAAACTTTCACTATTTTCCATACAAACTTTTCATTTTTTGTTTTGAGAGAGAGATTAATGTCTTGTGTTAAGCTTCCACATATTCACGTTTATATTTTGGAAGTTATAATGTTGATTATGGGTGGTGGAAAGTTATTTACAATTCAAAGAAGTCAACCCATTTTATTTTTTCTCGGGTCGGGTCAACCCAAGTGGCGCGATCCGCCCCCTTTCAAACCTTTTGTTTAAGAGAATGTGATGGAACTTTGCGAGCTTTCAACACATATTTGACAATTGTTCTTTCCAAACATCCTCAGGGAAAGGGAAAGGAAAAGTCAATCGTCAGAAGCTTCGCCCTTTTTTATATCGAGCTGCTCTAAGAGGTGATTGGAAGGATGCTGAAGCTGTTCTGAGTTTAGACAGAAGTATAGCTAGTGATAAGATAACAAATACAGGAGATACGGCTCTTCACGTAGCTGCTGCCAGCAAGAAAACTGCATTTGTTCGTAAATTAGTCGAGTACTTGAACGAAAATGAGTTAGCATTGCCGAATAAACACGGAAACACAGCTTTATGTTTTGCAGCTATATCAGGGATTGTAGAAATTGCCGAGGTCATGTGCAAAAAGAATAAAAAATTGCCAATAATCCATGGCAGCAATGGAATGACTCCACTTCGATTGGCTGCTATGCTTGGAAAAAGGAAAATGGTTAAATATCTTTATCAAATTACGCCTTTTCAAGATCTCCAGGCTGAGGAACGTATGGAGATTCTTGTAGCAACTATCTACGCTGCCATTTATGGTATGAAATCTCCAGATTGAATTCAATCATAAGTAACAAATGAATTAGCATGTTTCGCTGACTATTTGAACCAAATACGCCTTCCGACATTTTAATAAGCTTGATTTTCTTGCTCGTAGATATTGCATTAAAGATGTTGAAAGAAGATACAAGTATAGTTACTTATCCAGCAGTAAAGATAGGAAAAGCTCTGAAAGTGTTAGCTCGAAAGCCTTTATCACACCATGGAAAATGTCAAGGACAGTTATGGGAAAGACTTGTTAGAATCATTGCTACTGTCCCTTATGTTCCTTGTAAGTCCATATGAATTAAATATTTTGATTTTCTACCCAATAACTGATCTGGAGATTAATATTGCGATTGCGTTTAGGTTTCAAAGATATATATGATTCAGTTGAAGTGCGGAGACAAGGCCGTAGTCTGGTAGAGAGGCTTTGGGAAGAGATTCTGAGGTTACCAGACTCGGCCATTTCTAAACTAATTTTTGAGACTGGAATATTTCATGATGCTGCAAAGATAGGGAATGTTGAGTTTCTGACAATGCTTACCTATGCATATCCCGATCTTATAAAGAATGTTAACTCAAATGGTTACTCCATATTTCATGTTGCTGTGTTGAACCGGCAAGAAAATGTTTTCAATCTCATTTACCACATAGGAGCTCTTAAAGATTTATTAGTACTCAATATAGATTGGAAAGGCAACAACATTTTGCACTTGGCTGGAAAATTAGCACCTCCAATCAGAGTCAATATTGTATCAGGAGCAGCACTCCAAATGCAGAGAGAACTACTATGGTTTAAGGTGGGAAATTAAACATGTCTAAAAGTCCCTTTCCCTTTTCCCCTCGACGCTGTATAACACAGTGTTCTATATATCTTACAGTATGAATGTTGATGCATCCATAATCGACTATTTTAACATAATAAAAAAATTTATTCCCGTTCTAGATTTCAATTTAAAAGGATTTTGCAATATGGAATAAATTAAGCAATCTTTTCAGGAGGTAGAGAAAATTGTGCCACCATCATTTCTGGAGAGGAAAAATTACGATTTACACACACCAAGGGAGTTATTTTCAGCCGAGCACAAGGATTTGCGGGAAGCTGGTGAGAAGTGGATGATGGACACAGCAAATTCTTGCATGGTTGTGGCAACTTTAATTGCCACAGTGGTATTTGCTGCAGCCTTTACGGTACCAGGTGGCAATAATGAAACAGGCACTCCAGTATTCTTGAATGAATGGTGGTTCACAGTTTTTGTCATATCGGATGGGGGGGCAATGTTAACCTCAACAGCTTCTATAATGATGTTCTTGTCGATTTTGACTTCACGTTTCGAAGAAGATGATTTTCTATTTTGGTTACCGGCAAAGTTGACGTTCGGATTAACATCTCTCTTTGCTTCAATCATTTTCATGGTCATAACATTTAGTGCAACGTTCTTTTTGGTCTACAATAAAGAAAAGCAAAAGTTGCTGCCGGGACTTGCTGCTGTAGCTTGGATTCCAAGCATTTTATATGGAGTGCTAAATTATCAGCTGATGATTGCCCTATTCCGCTCAACATTCTACTCGAGGTCTACATTTCGAGGAGGTAAGCACAGACTTTACTAATAAAAGGAGTAGCAATTCTGCTCTTTTTTTCTATCAAATTAGTACTACAAAATAAGTGGGCTTTGCTTTGTGAGTACAATAAAAATGGAGAATTTCTATTTCTTATTTCCAGAGACAGATTGTGATGGAATTCTGTAAGCACATTTTCAGACAGTGATTGTTTTACTGAATGATCTGAATGTTGATTAAATTGAGTTGCCTTGATTCTTTTGCTACTATATATGATATTCTTTTAGCTTGTAAAAGTTGTTTTTTTGCCACTAATCATGTAAAGGAGACAGTATCCCAGCCTGACTTTGTAATTGGGATTTCAAAGGATACGATTTTAGTTTAGAAATGAATTTGGGATTTTTCAGGCCGTAATTAATCTGAGGTTTCGCTTTCATATTTATTTGTAAAGATAATACAATTAACTGTACAAAGACCCTGTCAGACTATTACATATTCTACTACAATTCAACCCCAACTTCAATAAAGCAACAGCAAAAAGGAAAACGAATAGTTCTCTGTTCAGAGGACTATTCTGTCATCAGAATACGATGTATAGACTTAAAAGTTTTGCAATGCACCCTCATTATGTACACGAAAGTATCTTGTATAGACCTCAAGGACTTGCAGTGCACCCTCAGTATGAGAACTTAGCCTGTGTTTGATGAAGATTAAAATCAAATTTTTAGTCAATTTTGACAAAAATTGATGAAATGTGTAGATCTCATTAAATAAGTGATAAAAATTAATTGTTGACTTTGAGCTAGATTAAAATCTAAAGTTTAATTGGTACCAGAGTAATGTACTAGTTTAACATCCCCCTCAAATGAGAGATGGACTATTTGTCGGTCCAAGTTTGTCGCTAATGTTAGAATGTGGAAGCAAAATTTCCTAGAAATTAAATTATTTTTTTTCCATTCAATAAACAAAATTGTTTAAATGTTCACGTGTATATTATATCAAGAATGAAGAATTTGATTTCTTACATAAATTTTGATGTTCAATTCTTGAATTAATTCTGAATCACAAATTTCTAACTTTTTAATTTCAAGAACTTGATGCTTCAAATCTCCAAATCTTATATGATATTCTCCAAAGTCAAGACTATACCGATTGGTGGACAGCTCTTTTAATTAAATAAAGAAACTAATTTTTGAACTGGAAAATTGAATAAGATGAAAAAATAATTATTTTCTCTCTTTTTCTCTCTTCAAATTTGAACATTATGAAATTATGTATTATGGTTGCTGTTCAATTCCACAAAATGTTTAGGTTCTATCTAATCTCTATTTATAGAGATAGAATTGTTCCAATCCTTGTACAATAATAATATCACATTGAAATAAGAGTTTTAGTTAAAATCTAAGTAGGAGTTTTAATTAAAATCCACATCCAATTAGTTTCTATTTAATTACATTTGTAGTCCTAGAACTTCAAATATAATTATAATTAAGATAATAAATTTTGTAGTGCTTACAATTAAGTATGAAACTTTATTGTAATTACAATTAAGCTAAACAACTGTTTTATTTGCCGTAATTAAGTCTAAAAACTTTATAGACCTACCATAGGGACCAAATCGGACATATATTATCCAATCTCCAATTATTAGATCTGTCTAGTTGATCTTAGACCACACAATCTAATTATTAGTCTTTTCTTTTTTCATTAAAAGTAAAAGATTGAACTCTTGAAATATATAAGATCACAAAAGCTAATAAGTCTATAATACTTTCCCCTTCCTGCCATATATGTATTTTATCCCCATCCGAGATTCAATAATTAGGTACAAGTATAATGACCATTTTGACCTTCTAATTATACTTGCTAATTTAAGTACCATTTTCTTCAACGGTTCTGTGAACTAATTACAGAAGCCGAAATCTAGTCATCACAAAACACAGAGCTCAGATTTTTACCGTTCAGTAGAAAATACTTAGTTAGTCACTCTACTCATTTTTCGAGACAACGATTCCCGAAACAATTTATGTTTTTTACTTTTCTTATTCTCAAGCTTTCAACTCATCGAGATATTTGACCCATTAAATTGATCTCATCCTTTGATGCATCAAAAAATCATTAAAATCACGAAAAGATATGCATGACCCAGTCGAGGAATTTAGATGAAATACATAGCGATCAAGTGAAATTTAATTCTCTTCGCGGTCTTGCTATAGAATTAAACTCGACACGTGGACCGTACAATACACTCCAAGTGTACTATTATTATCTTTAACTATTTCTATGATAAAGACAAATCACAAACCTGAATAATGGATCAGTCAACACTACAACCTAGAGTACAAGGTGTCAACCCCTATACATTAGTTGTAAACAAATTATTTATTATCAAAATATAAGTTGGGTCACACTGCACTTCTCAAACCAAATACCCAATTTATATTATCACAAGTAATCATAGGCACTTTAATTCGCATGTCAATAATAAATAAATGCAATAAATAAATAAATAAATATTTATTTATTATAAGTTATAATTTAATCATAGCAAAATATATTAAATGGGCACATAACCCAACAAATTTCCCAGTTGCCCAAGAGTATATATGTTACAACCCAATTTTTTTCTAGTTAAAAATCAAAAGTTGAATTATCAAAATCAAAGTCAATAGGGACTAAATGAAATAAATTATTTTATTGTGACTTAATTTATTGTGAAAAATATTTTGAGGATTTAAGATGGATAAGGGATCTACTTATATATTTTTGGGAAGTTTAGGATTTAATGTTATATTGTATGGAAGATGAGGGACTTACCTTGCAAAAATTCCCCCACTAACCTGGCCATTTAAACCATTTTTCATTTGTGGATATTCATATCCACAAGCTGGGAAATGGCGGAAAGAAGGAGAAAAACCAAAAAAGAAAGGAAGAAAAAGGGAAAGAAAAGAGAAAAAGAAGAAAGGAAGAAAGAAAAGAAAAAGAAGGAAAAGAGGTAGGTTTTGCAATTCAAACTTCACTCTTCAATTTCTCGAATTTCTCCAAGAGATATAGTATAATTTATGCCTAATTTTTAGAGTTTTGATTTGTAAATTTCAAATTTAAGATATATGAGTACAAATTGAAGCTCTAGTTTCTTGATTCTTTAATTTCCATTTACATTAAGGTAAGAAATATTATTTTCGGACCAACCCTAGATTTTAAATTGGATGCTTGAGTAAGGATTAATTATGAAAATGATTATGTTGATGGAATTTTTCACTTGTAAGAATGACTTTATGGAACAAGATGTATATTAAATTGGGGCAAGAGTGATCCCAAGTTTTTACCATATGGAAGATGGGATAATTATTTTTATACTTTGGATGAAGGTTATTTTGAAGAATTAGTTATTTAGTTAAGGGACTTGAAAGTGGAACTAGCACAAATTAATTAAAGGAATATTTGGGAAATTTATTCAAAAATCGAGAAATTTAGTTTAGGTATTATATGATTACAGATAAAAGAATTCTTGTTTTGATAGTGATTAAATCGGTTATCTTGTATTGTATTTCAGATGGTGGCAAAAAGATTAAAAAAGCTTATCGACCATCATAGTCAATTGCTTGCCTTGGGTGAGTGGATAAAAACTTATCTTTTAGAAATTAGCATTTATTAAATTTATATTATATCAAAATATTTATTATTTCATGTAGTTAATTTGATAGCATGAATTTCATAATAAAGTTGATTTATAATCAATTATTTTTAAAGTTAAATTCAATTCAGTAAAATCATTTGATTAGGATATTATATGAATATTAAATATTTCAACATATTTAAAGTTATTTTCTTTAAAACCACCATAAAGTACTTAGGTAATTTTACACAAGTTTGCACTAGTGTGAATGTGTTTCCACGATGTATGACTCCATATGATTATTTTACCAACTCTGCATTGGTATGAATGTATTTTCGCAGTCTATGATCAGTTATGGTGATTTTACCTGCTCTATACTATTATGAATGTGTTTTCATAGTGTATGACCAAATTATAACCTTTGAGCAACTTTGTGTGCACATGATCAAAATTTCAAAATTAATGAATTATAGAATTATAGAACTTCGAAATTTTAGAATTGCAAAATTTCATAATTAAATAGCTTTGCCATATATATCGGTACTAACTGATAAATGAATAAGGTTATTCGGGGTACCCTTTTTTGGTGCGATCTTTTAGTATTATACAGTTTATCATATTTTAGAATATAGAATTTAGTTTATTCGATTCACAAAGTAATGATTTCATCTTATAGTATTGTGAAGGATATTTTCACTCATATCTATTAATATATGATTATTTAAGTTCATTATACGTTACAGTTACTTATCTAGAATAAAGAAAAGAGAATTGTACGATGAAATCATGTTTCAGTTTTAAAAAGTGTGATTAGATTTCAAAATTTCTCAAAGTTTTAATAGAGTAAGAATTTTTAGAAAATATGCATAAGCGGAAAAGTATACTTATTTGCAAACTATTCACTCACAGAGCTACAAGCTCTTATATTTTATTACCATTTTTCTTATTCGATAGTAGTTGAGTTGAACAACATTGGAGTCTGTTGATCTACCGAGTTGAGCCTTACATTGTCATCAGATGTATGACTCATTTTGTCAGTTTACACAGTTCATATTTTTATGATACAAGCATTTTTGTCAAAAAATATGACCATATCATGGGTTCATTGCATAATTGTTATCTTTTGATTATGTTGGGCTTTTAGAGTCTTTTGACTTGTTCAAAAGCATAAATTTCATTTTTGTGCACTTTATTTTGAATAGTTGGTATTCTGAGGACTGGTGTACCTTGTCTTATATTATATGTACAGTTTGAGAAAATTGATTATTATTTAGGTGATTTTAATCCATATTTCAAAAGGAACTCTGTCAAAGTTATTTTAAAAATACATCACAGTTAAAGCAGGTTAAGATTGCCTTGGTGTTGGATCCAGCACTTAGCTGATATTTACTATCGACGCATGACACGTGTTTGGTCCATTAGGTTGATTTGGGACAGGTCATGTCATTGGTATCAGAGCATGGTCATAGAGTCAACTTGCATTGCATTTATTTTGATTTTCTTCTGAACATATCATACATATTTTGTGGTTAAAGGTCATGGCTCGTGGTGGTAAGATTCGTAGTCTCTAGGATGTGTCGCCTCAACCACAAGTTGCTTCTCATAGAAATGTCAGTAAGGTTGAGGAATCAGTTCA